TGCCTCCTGGGTTCAAGCGAATCTCCTGCCTCAGCCTCCCAAGTAGCTGGGACTACAGGTGCACACCACCACGCCTAGCTAATTTTTGTATTTTTAGTAGAGATGGGGTTTCACCATGTTGGCCAGGATGGTCTTGATCTCTTGACCTTGTGATCCGCCCACCTTGGCCTCTCAAAGTGCTGGGATTACAGGTGTGAGCCACTGTGCCTGACCAGATCATATCCTTTTTGTCCAATCACATTTCAACAAGGTTATCCATACTTCAATCATGCCTATCCAATGAAGTCACCATAAAATGGCCCAGAAGACAGGGTTCAAGAACTTCTGGATAAGGCTGGGCACAAGTAGAACTTATGCAAGTTCTACTAAAAATATAAAAATTAGCTGGCTATGGTGGCATACACCTGTAATCCCAGCTACTTGGGAGGCTGAGGTACGAGAATCTCTTGAACCCAGGAGGCAGAGGTTGCAGACAGCCGAGATCATGCCACTGCACTCCAACCTGGGTGACAGAGCCAGACTCTGTCTCAAAAGAAAAAAAAAAAAAATACCGAGTGCAGTGGCTCATGCCTGTAATCCCCGCATTTTAGGAGGCCGAGGTGGGCAGATCACCTGAGTCTGACCAACATCCAACATGGAAAAGCCCCATCTCTACTAAAAATACAAAATTAGCCGGGTGTGGTGGCAGGTGCCTGTAATCCCAGCTAGTCAGGAGGCTGAGGCAGGAGAATTGCTTGAACCTGGGAGGCGGAGGTTGCAGTGAGCCGAGATCACGCCATTGCACTCTAGCCTGGGAAACAAGAGCGAAACTCTGTCTCGAAACAAAACAAAACAAAAACCTTCTGGATAGCCAAACATGTGGAGGTTTCTGGGAAAGTGAACGGTTAACAAGAACTTATGCAAGAACCAGGAGAGTGGCCCACCCCAACACCATGAGGACAGAAGTGCCTGCACTCAGACCTTACCTTATGTATCTCTTCATGTAGTTGTTTATTTGTATCCATTAAAATATCCTTAGGAATAATCCAGTAAATGTAAGTAATTGTTTCCTCGAGTTCTGTGAGCTACTCTAGCAAATAAATCGCATCCAAAGACCAGGTCGTTGGAACCCCCACTTGAGGCTGGTCAGTCAGAGGTTGTGGATGCCTCGACTTGTCACTGGTGTCTGAAGTGGGAGGTGAATTTTTCGCACTGAGCCCTTGGTCTGTGGGATCTGACGCTATCTCCGGGGAGACAGTATCAGAAGTGAATTAGAGGGCACCCAGCTGGTGTCTGCTGCAGTATTGATTGCTTGCTTGTAGTGGGGAGAATCCCCCACATTTCATCATAGAAGTTTTCTGTGTTTATTGTTGTGTGGCGTGACAGCGGAGGAAAAAATTTGAGTTTTTCCTACCACTAGTGCCATTCCAAAACATCTTACTTTGGTTCTGCCCAACATTGAGATTGTTGGGGGGTCACTGATTCTTCTCAAATATAAAATATTCTGTCCAGATAGCATGATAACAAAAGCTCACTCATTCCATAAATGTTTATTAAGTTTCATTAAGTGTCAGGAGCTAGACCAGATATTGAGGAAACAGCAATGACAAGAGAGAAATTCTTGCTTTTATTGAGTCTCAGTCAACAGAAAAGACAGATATTAAACAAATAATTATAAACAGGAGGAATATTTTGAAAGAGGAAGCACAAGGTGTAATAGCAAGGAGCTTATAACAGAGGAAGCTGGATGCAGTGTGGGAGTCTGAAAAAACTTCCTTGAGGAGCAGACATTTCAGCTAGGCTGAGAGGATGCAGAGGGGGTATTCCAGACAGAAAACACCACAGGTTTGTAGGTCTAAAAAAGAAATAGAGAGAGCAAGAGCAAGAGAGATGTTTGAAGAAAATAGAAGTTCTGGCTGGGCGCGGTGGCTCATGCCTGTAATCCCAGCACTTTGGGAGCCTGGCGGGGCAGGGGGGGCGGATCACAAGGTCAGGAGTTCGAGACCAGACTGACCAACATGGTGAAACCCCGTCTCTACTGAAAATACAAAAATTAGCCAGGCGTGGTGGCGGGTACCTGTAATCCCAGCCACTCAGGAGGCTGAGGCAGGAGAATCACTTGAACCCGGGAGGCGGAGGTTGCAGTGAGCCGACGACATCATGCCACTGCACTCCAGCTTGGGGGCAGAGCGAGACTCGTCTCAAAAAAAAAAGAAAAAGAAAATAGAAGTCCTGAATGCTTGAACTGTAGAGAGGGAGGTGGAATCAGTGAGAGACATCAAATACATTTTGAGGGGAAATTGAAGAGTCTTTGCTCTTTACATCCTCCAAAACTTGGCATTTGATAGACAAATGACCTTCTCTCCTCCAACTCTACATGACAAACGTTTTTACCAGTTTAGAAACAAATAGACAAACAACCTACTATGATCTGAATGTCTTCCATGTTCATGGTGCATCCAGAGAAAAGTTGGCCATGTAGCCTGTCACCCTGGCTAAGCTAATTGGTAAGGAGAAGATACCTGACCCAGAAAAAGCCAATCTGTAGACTGGTCAGTGATCTGTGAAAACAGCTTGCTACAAAAGCTTTGTGAAACAGAGGCAGCTTAGACTACAAACCAGCAAGAATGTCTCTCTTGGAGCATTTGAATACAAAGCATCAAAGCCAGTTAGTCAACAGCAGCAGGAACAGGAGAAACAGAGGCAAAGTCGCTAAGACAATGTAATGGTGAAACCCTTAAGTAGGAAATTCCCAAAACCTGCGACTGAGGGTCTTCAGGTCCCCAAAGTACAGTTCCATTGCCAGGAGACCTGGCTGTCCCTGGATTCCCCTAAGGCCTCGCTGTGGGGTTGAGGGTCTTATCTTCCTATCTCCCCACATGTCCCTACGGAAATCCTCACTCACCTCTGGATCGTGCTCCATACAGTGGTGTTTGGGTCCTATCAGCGTTCTTTATCGCTGACCGGGCTAAGTCAGTGTTAGGGCCATCTGGAGATGTGGCCTTGATGTTTTCATGAATAATGGCTCTGTACCCTCTAATAACATTCAGTACCAGGCGGAGGGAGAAAGGAAATTCATCTTGCTGAGTACCCACTATGCGCAGGCAAGATATCAGTTGTCCTTATAACTATCCTAAGAGGTGCAATTGACCTCATTTGATAGCTGGTAGAAGACAGAATCAAGACCCAAACCCAGGTCTTTCTCCCATCTTCCAGACTATTTTTGCTACATTGTGTTGCCTCCTTTCATTTAAATATATATTTATGGGCCAGGTGTGGTGGCTGAAGTCTGTAATCCCAGCACTTTGGGTCAAGGCAGGACTGGGCCACAGAGCAAGACCCCATCTCTACAAAAATACACACACACACACACACACACACACACACACACACACACAGCTCTCAAAGGGTTCTACCTTATTTACATCTTTGCTGTTTTGGCAAAACTGCAGAATTGCTTGACAAATTGCTTTGTTTTAGCAACTCTATTTGTATCCTAACTCTTACCTAAGGCAATTATGAAAAATCAAGTAAGAAAGAAAACATTTTCATTTAGACTCAGTAGCCTCACAAAGATACTAGAAGTCTGCTAATATATTTTATTTTTGTATTAACATGTTTTAATTATCTATATTTGTTGTTATATTATGAAGTTCTATTAGCTTTTAATAATTCATAAATATAATTGAAATGGGTAATTCAGAAATAGGGTTGAAATTTACCTCAAAATCATTCACTTTAAAATGAAAAGCAATGTATTTTAGTTAACTCTTCAGAATGTGGTGTGAACATTACCTAGTGGTGACCGGATGGGTAACCCAGAAATAGGGTTGAAATTTACCTCAAAACCATTCACTTTAAAATGAAAAGCAATGTATTTTAGTTAACTCTTCAGAATGTGATGTGAACATTACCTAGTGGTGACTGGATGTGTCTAACCATGGTCTACCCTTCCCTCTTGGAATTAGCAAATGAAAATCCCTGGATTAGATATGGATATGGTTAGTATGTTCACAATAAGCAGAAGAGATGAAATGGATATGGCAATTTAAAGCTCAAGATGTGGAAACAGTGGTTCTCCATCACCCCCAGAGCACGTTAAAACAAAAATCAAAAAAGCAACATACACACAAAACCCTCTACCATGGTCCAGCTTCAAAAATCATTTTAGTAGGGTGGCAGCTTTTGTTTTAAAGGGAATGAAACATGTGTATTTTAATCACATATTAAAATTACTACTAGCTGGGCATGGTGGTGCATGCCTGTAGTTCTAGCTACTCAGGAGGCTGAGGCAGGAGGATCACTTGAGCTCAGGGGTTTGAGGTTACAGTGAGCTATGATTGCACCACTGTTCTCCAGCCTGGGTAACGAGTAAGACCCTGTCTTAAGAAAGAAAAGAAAAGAGAAAAGAAAATAAAAGAAAGAGAGAGGAAGGGAGGGAAGGAGGGAAGGAAGGAAGAAAATAAGGAAGGAAGGAAGGAGGGAAGGAGGGAAGGAAGAAAATAAGGAAGGAAGGAAGGAGGGAAGGAGGGAAGGAAGGAAGAAAAGAAGGAAGGAAGGAAGGAAGTAAAGGGAAGGGAGGGAAGGAGGGAGGGATACTAATAACCTTTCTCCCTCCACCTGGTACTGAATGTTATTAGAGGCATTATTCATGCAAACATCAAGGCCACACTTCCAGATAGCCCTAACACTGATTTCCCCCTCTCGGCAATGAGGAACGCTGACAGGTCCCAAACACCACTTTATGGAACGGGATCCAGAGGTGAATGAGGTTTTCTGTAGGGACACAGAAAATAAAACTAAAAGAAATTTTAAAAGCATTTATTTATATAAACAAACAGAACGAGGAACATTATTTTCACATATCCATCCACGGTGCAGAAGTGAGAGCATCTCAGTGGAAATAGAGAAAACTTGTTTTTGCACAAATTTTTAATCAAACACAGTTACTGCCAATTAACCAAAAGTGGCTTTCAGCTTTATTGACTAAAATGATTGCTTGAGATTCAGCTGTCATGTCCACATTCCAGGCAGCCTGACCTTTCTGGAAGTTATACATGACACTTCTATTTACATCCCCTTTACTAGAACTTAGGCACATGGCTACTTCTGCCTGTGGCTATGTGGCTAGAAATAGGAAGTCTATTACCAAAAAAGAAGAAAACAGATACAGGGGCCACTAGCAGTGGCAGTTAGTGTCCTCAGGGGTTGGATGATATAAATATTCAGGAGGAAATGCTTTTTAAAATTAAACTCTCATTTATTACTCTAGGGCATAACATTGCCATTGGTCAGAGTGGAGAATAACTTCCCAAAGAGAAGGAATGCCTAGCAGGAGACAGAGAGGAATGGATTTTCAGGATAGAGTAGGGGCTCAGGTCTGACTGCCTGCTGTCAATGGTCAGACAGAGGAAACATTGCCTTCTCTGCAGCAGTGGTTCCTAGTACCAGCAGCTCAGGTCACCTGTTTCTTATCTCTTGGAATCAGGACAAATCATGAGTTTTGATGACTTAAAATTTGAACTCTGGATATTTAAAGGAGCCTACAGTGTTTTTAAACCAAATGATCACATTAGGTTCAGAAAATTACTGAATTTGCTGTATATCAACCTTGAGGGTAAGCTAGAGCTATGTATTTTATATGATAGAGTTGATTCCGTTGAAAATAAGACAATTGGTCAGAAATAAAATTACACCTTCAGTTGTTAGTGAAAAGGGGCTTTTAAATGAATCTTACTTTTCCCCAGATTTAACTGCAATTTGAAAATGGATTCAGTCATTTTATTTGCTCGTTCACTAGGTCAAGCATTGATTGGGTATCTCTAAGTATTTGATGGATGTACAGAGATGACCTTAAAAAGCTTGTTTCTTGGCCGGGAGCGGTGGCTCATGCCTATAATCCCAGCACTTTGGGAGGCCCAGGTGGGCAGATCACCTGAGGTCAGAAGTTCAAAACCAGCCTGGCCAACATGGCGAAACCCTGTCTGTACTAAAAATACAAAACATAGCCATGCGTGGCGGCGGGCGCCTGTAATCCCAGCTACTCAGGAGGCTGAGGCACAAGAATCGCTTGAATCTGGGAGGCAGAGGTTGCAATGAGCTGAGATTGTACCACTGCACTCCAGCCTGGATGACAGAGCAAGACTCTGTCTCAAAAAAA